GGATAACGCTTTGGCTTTGAAACTATGGGCACTGGGTTCGAGCCTCGGTGGGAACATCATCACTCACTGAGAAATGCAGGTACATCCAGATGACGAGTCCCAATTAGGACGAAATGCGCATCCTGGATTCCACTGCTAGCCACCATCCACCAATTGTATACAGAACCTTATGAAGTTTATATTTTAGAAAATTACTCTTTTAGATTGAAACTCTTGTAGTAGAGTTAAACGATATGTATGAGGACAAGTTTACAAATGTCTAAAGAATTATTCACAACTGTCCAACCGCTGATTTTTTTTCCTCAGTGGTATCATTTTACAAGATTCACTACTCCATCATCAGTATATTACATTTACCTGTAAATTAAAAAGAAGAGGCATGATATACAACCGATGTGAAAAATTTAAATAAAATTTGCAATAAAACAGGTGTAAGTGTCTAACAACTTTCTAAATTAATTGGTTAAGCATTAACATTTGGAATGTAAGCAATCGCTAAGGTGTCTTAGAAGTAAATTCTGGAAAACTTTCATGTTTCCCAATAAACTGTAAAGCAGGGGATACAGAAAATGAAGTAACTAAAGTCCCAAACTAGGACGGAGGAAACAGCTGTTCAGTACTCCCAGGGCTTTCCAATGTTTCTCTAAATAATGTCAGCTTATGATGAAATCATGTAACTAAATCAAATCCTTACAAACCAACACTTAAAGTCTTATTAGTCTGAAATTTCTACTTCCTCTATACAGCAAACTATTAGTTTCAAAGAATCAAGTGGTTGTAGGTACCTACCTTCAAGAATCTAGCCTCAAACCTTTAACAACCGATGAAATAGGGCACTTGTAGTTCATCAGCTAGTCTCATTCAAACGATAGTTTGTCAAATGTTTTCCATCAGTGAAACTTCAAGTTGATCCATATTGCTTCAGCTGCATATCGTGAACCAAGATTCTCACCGACTCAAATAATCTTCTCGGGTAGAAAGAAATTTTGCAGTAATTCATTCTTAATAAAATTTACTAAATTCTGTAAATCTTCCTCATCCTTACTACAAAGAGAGTTATATGTGTACACTGTGTACAATCGTGCAGCTTTAAAGTGATATCCAAGGGAGAAAGATGCTTTTTCTAGTGAAACAGATTTCTGTGACTTAAAGACATTGTTTTTACTCTGAAACAACTGGAAACACAGGTAAATATCAGCTTTAATTTGTAGGATTATAGGTAATTTATTATTATCACTATGTTACTATTTAATTGGTGGATGGTGACTAGCAGTGGAATCCAGGATAACGCGCATTTCGTCCTATTTGGGACTCGTCCCCTGGATGTACCTGCATTTCTCAGTGAGTGATGATGTTTCCACCGAGGCTTGAACTATGTTACTGTTTATTAACAACACTGAATTTTCATACAAATTTTATTTTAAAAAAATACTTTATCGTCTTTCTGCTAGTTCCTGTCAACTCCACGCAACCATACTGATTAGTTATTTACTCACACGTATTACATCATGCCAACTTCTGCATCTCTTCTAACTTCCAATTAGTCATCCCATCTAGGTTACACCTTACATTACGTAACACGTTTTTCGAGGGCAAATTTTGCCGGTGTCCGATTGGTCTTATAACTTTTTTGTTGTTGAATATAATTACTACTGTACAGCTTATGAAAACGAATCGTCGAAAAGAAAACTTTCTTCGCTGTTTACGCCTTTTTCGTATGACTCAATATGGGAATATTTCGTTCATTTATTCTAATCTTTTGCTTCTGATCTAAGTATCAGTTTATAAGTTAACACCTGAAGCCTAGGTGTGATTTTTCATGCCACTCATTATTGATAGTGTTTTTTTTTGTGATCTTTGGGAAAGTCATGCCTCCCCGCTTACATTTGGATGAGCCTTCCCCCATCTTAACAAACAGACTTCGACTTCCACCACAGGTTGATATCAGTTGGATAACCATTGAAAACCAGCCATAGGGAGTACTGGACAGCCAGCTATTAAATCAGCCTCGTTTAGGAATCATCGACAGTAGTAAAATGCAGAGAATTTCATTTTGTATCACAAGTACTGTTTTGGAATAAAGCTATTATCTTATCTTAGGAATTATCGACAGTACTCACCCGCCTCAGAAGGTTCGAACCCACGACCTTCCGGGTAGATGGCAGGCTAGTATACCATTCGGCCACTGGGACCCCATTCAGTGTCCCACTGATGACATTGCTAAATCACGAATTGGTTGAAGTTAGAATTCATACACTGGCTGGCCAGTGAATCGGGTTCCAGTGGCTGAATGGTATACGAGCTTACCTTGTAACCGGAAGGTCCTGGTTCCGAATCCCCTGATGGGGTTGTGTACTGCCGATGATCATCAAACCAGGATGAAACAGCTGGCTGTTCAGTACTCCCTGTGGCTGGTTTTCACTGGTTCTCTAAATGATATCAATCCGTGTTCAGACTACTATAAACAAAACTAATCCTTGCAAATCAACTCTTGAAAATATAAAAGGCTTCACTGGTAGCTCGTTCACCTTGTGCGTATCCTTCTCCTGAAATGTATAACGCACAAGAATTGAACACGAGAAGGTTGTCAAATTCTACTAGTCAGGGGAACATTAAAGCTACTGTATAAATTAAGCTGTGCTATAATTCTCTACTAATCTTCAGATGACAGGATATTGATTTTTTTATAAAATTGCTTTAGTTTCATACATGTTTCCACTGTGTCTTAAGCCAGAAACACCTCATATAACGTCCATCATACCAAAACTTAAAAAAAGAAAAAAAGATCAGGGCATACGAATTAACCTGTATCTAGTGTGATTGACCCCAGTAGGCTAAGTAATCTATAGAAAAGCTTGACCACTGCAATAAATTTGCTTACATGTAGTCACACAAACGTGTGAGATACAGTAAAGTAACCGACAGTGATATAATCAGGTGAAGACGAGAGAGAGAGAGGTTAGTTTCGCTCGTGGAGTCAGAAATAAATAGATGAACTAGGAATGACGAAGCACTTTTTCCCTAATGCATTAAAAAATAGAAAGGAGTAAAGCCATATATATAGGGCAATTTAAGAATACGTGTGGATAAACTGTGCGCCAAAATTTCATTCAGTTATCAACACTGTGTTATGTCAGATAAACCAGTCTAATATGGAATTATATTCTACTATAGTGCCGAAATTCTACTCTAATGAAGAAAAGATTAAAATATGCAAACATGTTCAACAGTGTCAAATTGCCTTTCCAATTAAATACTAAAAAAATGTATTTCTCTTTACAATTATAAGGTATGAGATTAAATGATAGCGAAATTAATTTGTATGATGATTGATCAAGGTGGGAATTTCGCAACTCACTAATTTTGATAATTTAAATATCACAAGTTGTCTAGAACAGAGATATAATAAGCTTATTAATTTCCAAATAATAAAACGCGTTATTGGACATGAATTATTTTATTTTTGTTTAAGCTGATCAACAAATTTTTGGTTCGAGAAGAATTTGAAAGTTTTAAATGGCTTAACATCTGTGGAAATTGCTTACTGACTAATGAAAGGTTCATGAATTCAGAGAGTAAAAAGGACAGTTTGAGATGAAAGTTGTAGGACTGCCTGGGTTGGAACTTCTTATACAAAAATGTCTCACTACAGGTGATCACCTAGATCATTGTATATATATATATATATTAATACCGCCCTTTTCTAAGCAGATAATGCACTTACGTCACCATCTGATAGAACTTAGGGTTAATGGTGTATTTAGCTTCAATGCTATTGTAGCCTTAGGATTCAGAATTCATTCTCCGGATGGTATCATAGATATAGTATAAAGCCACAAATTGAAACAAACAACTACGAATTACTTCTTGGTTTTTCATGGCCACTTGAAGGCAGTGGCTCAGCGATTAGGACTCTCACCTACCATGCACATGATCCGGGGTTCGTCCCTCTGCCGACGTACACCTGTTATCAACGGTTGGCCTGCGAAATTCAGGCTACCAATATCACATGCTGAAAATTATATGCTTGTACCAAAATATTGCGTAGAATTAAGCTATAATAAACAATTGGTTAAGTCGGTATACAAGAATAAAGACAGTTGGTGAAAATTTGACTTTTCATGTCGCATAATAATTTTGGAGACACACTGCAGAACACAGCAAAATCATACGGCATCTATATGTTTTCTTAGTTTATTCAGTTCACAAGAAATTCATGTAAATTTCTGCATAGAAAAGTTGTATTTTACAACAGTGAGGCCAAAATTTAAACCTTAGACTGATTATTTCTGTTTAAGTTGATACTGATCTATTTCCAAGAGGAAAGATTTTAGGGTGAACGAATCACTATATGAATATCTCAGGAGATATTTATTGAGAGATTGATTATGAACTTCATACAGGTTAAAAAACCCATCATAGGTTACAGGAAAGCAAACAACATGATAATACAATTTTTAACAGTATAGACACATTCCTCTGAAGACGATTTTGTCACAAAAGAGCTCAACTGGCTAAGTAAGGTAAAGTGGACAGCGGTAACAGTCAAAATGTTTTGAATTCCATCAACAGGAAGCCTTGCTTAACTCACCATTCGTCCTTCAGGTGATGATTGTTTTAGGGTTTAAAACTAACACGGCTAACTCGTTCAGTATACTTTGTTTGGGTTAAAATTAACCTTCATAAAGATGCTTTGTGAACCTGCTTTAGTTATTGAGTAATGAACAGTATTAATTTCAAACTGGAGACTTCAGGCCGATGTTTATTGATCGAAAATACTAAAGTTTAGTTATTAACGTACGTTTATTGTTTCTCTAATGTCTTTACCATGATAATAAGATATCATTTTACAGAAAATCTTGAAATTTATCAGCTATGCAAGTAAAATTTGTTTATTATTTATCATTTTTTAAAACAAAACGACTTCTGATTTCTTCTATTTTAATTTTATTCATAGTTTCACGAACCGTTTGTGGAGATTATTTGGTTGTACTAACAATATGTTTGTCAAAAGAATAGAAGGTTTCATACTGTTTTGTGTGTGTTTGGCAACTTTATTGTCTTCTACAGACTGTACACGGTTGTTAGAATGCAATATACCTGCTTGCGAGTAAGTTTTTTTTAAGTGATTATTTTTTTATTAAAATTTGTGTTTTAACTTCATACACTTTCATACGAAATAGTCATGGTGTTGAACAGTAATAAGCGTAATCGCTGATTACTTGAATGCAGATGAAGTCTGTGTCTTAGGCGAAAACAGCTGGCTGTTCAAATTCTAAGTTGAAATTAAAAAATGAAAGTGGCAGCTGATGTCAGTCATTACGACCAAAAATATCGTTTAGAACAAAGTTCACGAAATGGTTGCAAGATACATTGACTAACCAGCAAAAGGAATTTAGAAGTGGAACATAATTGTCATTTAATTTGTTAATCATAACAGTAGTAATCAGCAATAAAGTCTGATGAAATAGAGATAAGAAAACAATATAGAAACAAGTAATATCAGTAGCATCCTGTTAAAAAGAAGTTGACAAAAGTTGACAGCATTTTACTAGTTTCTGAGTAACCAACTTTACTGTATATTAATTTTCTACGCCAAGAAACGCTCGGATTATCTGTGGTGAAACATAGGCGGGGTATATTATTTGACCGCTAAAGAGTAATAACATTTGTGTGTCTAGTCCTTAGAGTTGGTACTGACCGAATTCTACCACTCAGGTTTGCACTTTTGTTAGCAAGCTTGATGGCTCATCATCATAGATTGGAGTGGAAAAGTGATAACGCTTTTCAATGCAGCTTTGAATGACGGGGTTAAGATTCTCAGAGGGCTTCAGACACGCCTTTCTGGTACCAGTAAGCGCGGAACTTAGTTGCAGGAGTTCCTAGTGGTTATCTGAAGCCATGTTACGTAATCAAAAGGAACCCTACCATTTGTTATCTGACTGAAAAGATAAAAGTTTTGTTCATACAAGCCATTCACTAATCATCTGATCTCACGTTTATAATTTAACGTATGCATTTTATAGGTAAACATTTCCCGCTTAATAAGAAACCATTCTGCTAAGCAGTAATATTTTTAACGCTTTCAACAAATTTATATTTCATCATTTTAGACAATGCAGTGTGACACAAAGATTCACTGTAGACGAATGTTGTTCAAGCGCCGAACTTCAAAGTGTTTGTGAAAGGTGTGAAGAAATTTATGGAACTGTAGGACAACTTTCAGATTGTCTGTGTAAGTAATATTCAAATGTTTAAGTAATGCATGTGACGACTAATAAAATATTTATGGAAATCTCATTATTAAGAAAAAGAAGTCCAACATTCAGAGGCCGGTTGAATCTGAACAGTTCTGTATTATATTAGTACTCTGTGGTTTAATTTTGCATGCTGGGAGGATTTGCTTGAGATCAAAAATGGAAAATGAAGCTCGTAGAGGCTATAATTCCCATTATTCAGGGATAATTCTGATTATATAATCCAGTCATATGCTTAGATGCTCACTTTTAAAAGTTCAGAATTTGAAAACATGACCTTCCCTCAAGTTGCACATATCTTTTTATGATGTGTTGGGATAAAGTAAGTCGATGACTGACTGTTTCTGATGTAAATAGACTGAAGCCTCAGCCATTAACCCTAGAAATGCTGATTTTCAATCTGTAATCCCTTGTCAGGTTTTTCTGAGGAATAAGAAGTAGTAATAACGCACAAATTGTTGAGGAAACCAAAGAAAGTAATAGGTCTATGAAATGTGTGCGTTGGTGGCACAGTGGTTAGGACTCTCACCGACCATCCACATGGTCCGAGTTCGATCCCCTACCGATGCACACCTGATATCTATGGTCAGCCTGCAAAATTTGGGCTACCGATATCCATGCTGAAAATTCCATACTTGTACCAGAAATACATTGTGGAATCAAGCTGTAGTCAAAAATAAAATAATAACAAAAAATAAGTGTAAAAACTATTTGTGAACTGATAATTAATATATTCGAAGTCGGATAACCGTGAATTTTCCACCGCTAGCCTCAGCGTTGCTCTTCTTGAAAATCAGACATATATTTCGAAATCTATGGGAAAAAAGTTATAAAGTAATAAAGCCCATTGGTAAGCTTAAGTGAAATAATAAATGGAATGCCTACTAGGCGTGTATACATAATATATATTCTTCTCATCTGCAAAAAAGCTGCAGGTGACCAGGAGTTCTTTCTAATGAAACTGAATGTGTTTTATATATAGGGATTCAAACTAGATCTTTGAAGTATTGGTAGCAGTGGTTTTATTCTTGAGGCGTAGGGTTGCTGTCCTCACGCTCAACATTTCCTCTTTACAGGCCTTACTACTGGTTTAGCAGTGTTTCAACCGGGAGATTAAACTCCTGACCACGTCCATGGTTAGCGAGCGTCTTATCGCTGAATCACTGACGCTCTTAAAAGAAAGTATGTATGACTGTGTTGGAGACGCACATGTAGGTTCAGCTACTAATCGCATTCTCCAGTTTATAGCAGTCATGCCTTTGTAACCCAGTTTTGTGTATATTTTTAAACATGACGTACCATGTAAATGTTATTTAAATTTATGCTTCCGCACCTTGTTTATAATAGTACGGATAAAAAAGAACAAGAATGAACCGCAGTTTTTCTAACAACGGTGCTAGCCGAGTGTTGTTAGGTCCAAAATCCTAAGTTATTTCTCATAGATTCAATGAAATTAAATAAAAAGACTATTTCTCTATATTTTTTTATAAAATGACACAGAATAAAGTAAATTATGAAGTAGTTTTGGTCAATTTCAGGTTAGATATCATCAGAAACCGATATCATTTAGAAAACCACTGGAGACTAGGTAGGAAAGAATAGACATTTTTTCCTATTTCTGGACTTTGTAGCAGTAGGCACCAGTTTCTTTATTGGCGATCGAAACTTACGATCTTCATTTAACTAAGCGAGCATCTTACTATTCAGCCTATGGAACACTACTTAATGGCCTACAGATTTCAACTTTCGGTACTTCATGAAATATAGAGCTGCTACTAATAACAGTCATCGGGGAAATATTCGTCTGTACATTCAAAGTGACAAGACGCCACAATCATGACTTTTCACTAGAACTCCAGTAATTCCATCCTTTAGTTAGCCAAAAAATGAACAGTTCAGCTGATTTCCAAGTGCTGGTTTGTAGAGATTCCATCCCGGTGGGTAATTCTCAATGTGTTCACCTCTGTAACCCAAAACTCCTGAGTCGGATCCCCAGTTGGCACAAGGGAGGTGGGAATACTGTTAACTAAGACAATATTAGTCTCAATTACTCCTTGATATTAAACAATTCTCTAAATGATGTCGGTTAGCAGTGAAAATATTACTTGTATTCCTTACATTTCTCTCGATAGTCAAATGTTTTACTGATAACCATTAAAATAACTAATTCTTGTAATCTAACCATAATCCCCTAAGCCTATGCAATTTAGCTGTCCAGCCATACTTATTTATTTCAAAATGAATATCAAAACTTATGATTAATCTATTTTAAAAGATAAATAAATGTTTCTGGAAAAAAAACAAAAGAAAACGATGCATAATGACACCTCACGAGTGTGTGTGTGTGTGTGTGCCTTTTTTCACATCAAAGTTTTCTTTTTCGTAGGTGAGCATTTCGTTACTTCAAGTGATTGACAGGTCAACTGAAATATCTCTTCTTTTTTCCCCGACTCTCATAAAAGTTAGTAACCAGCTTTGTTTTTTTTATACCATAGCTGCATGATATGATAGACAATTCGTTCACAGTATAAAGCTTTTAATGCTGGAATATTAAACTTAAAAGCTTCATCCCGCCATGCTTACCATTTTCACGCAATTTTATGCTCCAACGAGCCAGCTAAAGTGTATTAATGAAATTATTAAAAACAGGCTAAAGGGAAGACAATTTAAACGAAAATTTCAATAACTTCAAAACTAAGTTTTTAGGTGTAACACACAGTGTTAGTCAATCAATCATAAATAAACCTGTATTAGGAGAAGAAATATTCTTGCGAAGAAAAATAATTTTACAAAATAATCTTTTTTTTTCTAAATGCGATAAATCAGCCGCCGATTTATTTATCTTTAAATAATTTATGCGATTAAAAGTGTGTAGGTAAGTGAATGAAAAAAAAGATACTTCTATTGAAAGTGTGATTGTGTGATACATGTCACTCACTCTATTGCAGCAAAAAAGAAGTTCATGTTTGACTGATTTTACACTTTATCTAATCGTATCTCTAATTTTTGTGTCTTGTGTCTTCTTGCTTTTTTCTTCTATGCATGCGTGTATAGCCTCCTTCGCTGGTTTGAGACCGAAACGACGAGGTATGATTGGCAAACGTAGAGGATTTTTGGGTTGATAATAATATGCAATACAATTCGAAGTTAATTACACGCTGAAATAAAATAAAAAACACACTGATAATCATTCAAACAAACCAACCAACATAATCGTCATTTAATAGAGAAATAAATAAGCACAATACTAAAAATGACTATTTGAAATGTAAAATATACACAATAACTTTTGATTTTAATTATATCTATACTACTGATTATGATAATAATAATAATGATAATGAAAGTGTTGGTCCAATTCTGTTTTGCGTTGAACACAGCAATCTACTCTTCTTCTGAATACTATTATGATCTAAGCGAAGGGGTAATAGTGTGACAAAGTATGAAATAAACAAAAAAAAACCTATTCATCACTCAATTATTATAATATTATTATTAGTATTCTGTCGGGTTCCAAGTGGAACATAAGCCTTCATTAAAACACTTCTCCAATTTGTTCTAGTCTCCACTTTGTTCTATTTTCGGCTCTCTTCTTCAGCTAGTCCTGAGATTGCCCATAATGTCTCATCTTCTCCTCGCCACAGTATCTCGCAATGTCATCCTCGCACTGATAGAGTACTCTTCGCTTTCCATTAGGATTCCACTCTAGTGATGACCTAGCGCCTATGCCTAATCCATCCTTGTTTTCTCTGGCATATATGTTGAGCAGTCGGCTCTTGGTTGGTTTGGAGTTACAATGGCCTATTGCTAATTTCTTGCTAACCGTTTCATACTTTAGTATAGAGAGACGGCAGCTGTTGGCAAAAGTCTTTAACCTGTTGAAGATGCTTTTCCTAATGCAAAATGCAAAGTTTTAGACCCATGAAGTAGGAATGAATTCACATTCGTGTTAAAAATTTGAACCGTGTTCTTTCTTTGTGCTGAGTTAGTGTTGAAGATTTCCGAACTGATTTCAAAGTGATGAAGGTCTTCCTAGTCATACTGATTCTGACTTTCAAATCCCCCGCTCGTCCCTGTAGGGTGGGGGGGGGAAATGATGCTTCCTAGATAAGTGAAGAAGGCAACCTCTGTCAAATATCTCCTGTTGATGGTGATTGGTACTGGGTGTTCTTGCTGGAGTGTGGGTGTTTTCATTACCTCTGTGTCTTTGCTGTTTCTACAGCCAATTTGTTGATTTTCGCCTTCAAATCTTCATTACTGAATACTGTACAGAATACAGATACTTTATGTAATAGTTTATCATGACCACTGTATTCCAGGCCACTGTATCACTGATCGATGCGAGATGAAACTTACTAAACTGACGGTTAATGGAAATGTAGTTTTCTTTAGTTAGAATTATATGAAAAACTGTTGAGTAGATCAATTGATTGTCAGTAAGTGAATGAGTCTCACGTTATCCTATAAAGTATCGTATTCAGAGTGTTGTTTACAAAAAGATTATAAATTAGGAGTCACACATCTTTTCTCTAGGTCTATTGTAGTAATTAATTTTCTGTGTAATGGCGGTATAATCACTGAGACTCTTGAAGCCTAAAGATATAACTGTTTTAAAAGGCGAATGGTTAGGCAGTGTATAATACAAAATTACGAGAAATCGTTTTGAGCGTAACCTGTATCGTTTTGTTTAAGGTCTATTAGGTGGTTCGTATTCACCTTCACCCCGTAACACAATCTACCTGAAAATTTCTACCAACATAAGATATGAATTGTTGCCGTTTTTTACCAGTAACTCCATGGTGGATTCTTGAAGTTATTAATCAGAAATCCTGTTGATCAGATTAAGTTTGGTGATCAATACTAACTGATTGACACTAGAGGAATGTAAAACCGTACTAAGAACCGATGCAAATTAAAACTAATAAGCTATTGGATTGATACTTAGTGGTCTGACTACATTATGCTCCCCTTGTAAACTAACTCTCTTTGATTCGATCTCTAAAGCGTTGTGGGTATACACGGCTGAATACTCTCAAGGTATAATAAAACGCCCACACCATAATCTGCAATTTTCAAAGCCCCTTCTATCTATATAAGATAGTAAAAAGGTTCATCTTGAACTGCATTACACCCCCATAAAATCGACACTTGGAAGAAGATTTACTCAGTCATTGTGCTCATCACCTTACTTTGTCATACTAATTTGTTATTCTTTTTAGTGATGGTTAAAATATTAGATGAAAATGCGGTCGGGGAATGTTAGTCAGTGATCAGTTACGTTTCCATATGATTGACAATGACCCATATTTATTACCTGAGTATGAATGATACCAACTGGTTGTCCAGAACTCGGTAAGTGGAGAAGGCGATTCAAACCTTTGACATAGTGTTTAGAAATCAGGCGCCTTGTCTAGTGAGCTCCTGAATAATAACATTATTTGGATTTGTGATTACCTAACTTCGATTGATAGATTCCCATTCGCTACAATCTGTGTTTGTGAAGTGATTCATGAACAATTTGAATTTAACTGTAAGTCATAATGTCTGCAGTTAAAACAGTCTGATGTCAGCTTACATATATCATATAAATTCGAAGTGGTAAAGTAATTTCTGGTAGCCTTAATCAGTCATTTTATCAACTGTACAATTTGCAATTACCTAACTTTCATGATAATAATAATTTACTTTATTCCAAAAACAGTAATTATAGTGGAGAATAGAATTCTCAGCATTTGTCACAATGCTGCATCTGATGTACTTGAAATATAAATAAAATTAAAAATTAAAACAAAAGTAACCAGAGGAATTTGTCCACGTTTACGATATAAAGTCAAAAATATTCGAAGCACGAACTGAGATTATTAAATATTATAATAATAACAGTGAGTTTATTGCAAACAGTATTGTCGATTCAATTTGGAAACTTTAGCATGTTCTAGATTATTGGATCTAATGTTCTGTTGATATAGTATATTGAGGGGAAAAACAAAATTAACAGTTCTAACACAGCTTAAATTATGTTCACACTCGTGAAAAAAATAAATAAATAAATAAAAACGAAAAATTGAGAGGACTATAAGTATAAGAAGTACAATGACAATGAAGTTTGGTACTGAAAGGGTGGAAAAATGGTTTATTTAATAGTGCAAAGAAGGTTAGTTAGTTCATGCCTGACACAATTTCATCGCATAAAGTGCATGCTAAATAAGGTATAGTGGAATTCTTATACTTAGACGTACGTGCATAAATTCTTCTGACAAGACTTCTTGTTTTACCTGAGGAGACACAAGGTTGGAGCTGTGCGTAGAGTGGGTGCTCAGAGACTGACAAAGTTCCTTTAGCAAATTTGTTGCATGACATCAAGTGCCTATCAGTGACAATGTCAACGATATGGCCCAATGGGAGACCACTCGTCCTACTGACTAGCAGTCTTCAGAGTCCTACGAAGTATGACATAGTCTTTCTTAAGTAGTCCAGGAAAGAATAAGGGTGTAGAGTAAAGAGGAATGGGTAAGATGCACGAGTTGACAAACTGTAAGAGGAGGGTTGGGTTAAGCCTGAGTGCCTTAACCTCTTCTTAATGTAAAAAGCCAGACGAAATATTCTTTTAGAAATCGCTAAGTCATGGGAAGACCAGGATAGGTCAGAAGAAAGAATTAATCCAAGATATTTAACTTCAGACTTGATTCTGTATCAGTATCATTAATTTTGCAAGGGTCATATGAACCAACGGCTTCATTTAACTTTCGTTTGCATCGGAAACTGAAATAAACGGGAAATAAGTAAATTCTAAGCTACTAAGGAATTCATTTAGTAGCAGTTAATTGACAAGTCACCTAAGCAGATACTTGTCTTATCACGTTTCTTTTATATTCAGGCTTCACCCGTGAATTATCAATGCAAACACAATAACTTGAAGTGTTCATAAATAGTGTGTACATTACCATGGATAGAATATAAGTGTTGCGCAATCGCTAGTTTAGATAAACTCCGAATCGAAATCCATATTGATTAGTAAGTGGACAAGGAGGTGTTAGTAAGAAAAGTTCAGCAAATATATCTTTCCAGCGGTTTCATTCTCAAAAGGAGATAGACTGTAAGTACAAAATGAGAATCTACTCTAAAATGGACAATTCTGTTTAAATTAAAAAGTGAACACGATGTCATTTTTTCTGTATCTACAGTATATAAGAATTTTCATCCCAGATATACTGGCTAATCGTTTTCAAGGTAACGCGAGAAACCAGTTTACTACCTACCACTTTGAAGATCTGTTTTATGCGTAGAATTATTATTGTTCTCTTCATTAAAATGAACCCCTTTTTGATTCGAAGGAGTTCATCTGCTTCTAGGGAGTAAATTACCTCTGATACTTTGCATAAACTGTGTCTATTCGGGTAGGGAATTGTCTACCGACATGATTATATACGGGTCAAATGATTTTGATGTGGTTTTGTTCTCTGAGCTGGATGGTTAATTTGCGAAGCTTTCATCACCCTACTTGGTGACATCTTCAGCGCATACTTCAATTTGAAGTGAGCTTTTAGATTTCTCCCCGAACAAAACCACATCAAAATCATCCACCTGAGCTACAAATCTTCTCTATCATATCTGAGTCAAATGGAAAATAAATCACGAGTTCCATACAGTTATGTCTTATCACCGCCTAACTGTATTCAATTATTCATCAGATTTCAGTTCGTTCACCTAAAATTATTTGTCTTCTTCTATATCGAAGAGGACAAGTAGTTAGCATAAGAGTTAGCGAATCAGAATTATGCATGCATGTTGAACATTTAAAAAAAATATTTTTTACGCACTAATGTCACACAGTTCAATTTTACCTAATTTTTGTTGTGTTCACCTGCTTTAATTATTCATAAAGTTTTAAATGATTGATGCTCTAAATTATCACAACTGTTTTCATCCAATGTTCGCTTTCTGTTCATTTATTCACATTTTTTTGAATTGCGTACTGATCAAACTTTAACCATCTGTGAAATGTTGCAATAAATATTTTATGAATTAAAGCATTCCTTTCAAGTTCATTTTAGGAATTCATGGATAGTAAGTAGGTAACACTGAGCATAACTCAGAACGTTTTTCTATTTGACATAACCAT